GAGAAAGCTTTTGAATATTATAGAAAAGCCGTAGGTGATTAACCACAAACTTATTAACATATGAAAATTATTTATACATCTATCAATATTATCTATGTAGTTATATATTCAAATAATCAATAATACCTCATTAATATCAACCCTTTTATACAAATACTCCATTATTAACGATAGTTTTAAAAAAGCTTCCAACATTAATCCTCTTTATTATCCCTTCCCATCTCCTCCTAGGTTGATATTAATGAAGAAAGACTTTCTTTTATTTATTTATATTTGTATAAAATTAAATAAATAAATATTGAAGTTTTTATAAGCAGTGGTGGAAAATGACATACGTACAATTTTTTATGACAGATAAATGACATTCAAATTTTATAATGAATATTATTAAAATGACAAATTTTATGACATTCAGTTTGTGAAATTGTCAAATTGCCATCACTGTTTATAAATGTATTAATTTATCGTTATCAAAGCAATTATTTATGGAAAATTTTTTGTTGATTATGTGTTGCATACAGTATTCCCAAGTTATAAATATTTACTGACATGATTGTTGTCACGGTTTGTCGAGAGAGTATTCGCAGTTTAGTCCCGTAGCTTTAGATAATGTGGACTGAATAAGATTTTATTCAATTATCAATGAGGATTGACGAAAAAAGGTCGTATTATACTAAATTACTTTATTTATAATATTAGGATACGCACGATCCTTTATTAAGAACTGTTAGAACTTTTGTATGTCTTGATTAATAACAACAGCTTCATTCTATTGCCAATCTCTTCTAAAATAATGATGAGCAACTTGCAAATTCCTTCAATACTGTATACCATTCTGGATGCGCATCACACGTGTGATCTGCGTGTGATGTGCAGGATAGAGATGAAAAATCTACGGGTTTTTCGAATTTCCTTTGCATAATACGCGGAATAGAATGTTCTGTTCAAACTTTGTGAAATAATTTATTGTTACTACCTCCTATTATAATAATTCTACTGGATAATCCTGGGACATATGCATACAACAGAGCTCTATACGTAGAGTTATCATTTATCTAATCAAAATTACGTACGTGCGTACGTACATACGTACGTACGTACGTAGTGAAAAGGTAAATTACCCCCGAAATTACCGTGGTCCGACGTAGTACGAATTCTGAAAATTTTGAAAATCTCGAGAATTCACAGAATAATTAGCATTGTTAGGATCGTCAAAATTCCCCAAATAGCCATTATGAAATCCTAGTAAAATAGTAATAACAGTAATCGTTAGAATAGTTATTATCGATAGCATAGTTATTAACGTTAGTATAGTTATTATATTACGTATGTAAAGAAAATATATATATCGTGAGACTTTTCCCTGAATAAAGACAACTCTTGGGAGTTCAAAGTTCTAAGTTAAAGAAGTCAGAGTATTTAACTTACGATTCACTTTTATAGTGTTAAACTCGTGGAGTTCAAAAACCTTCGAAGTGTTTGTCTTTAACCCGTTGTACCCTTTTGTTAAAAACCATTCGTCGTTATCATATTTTCATGTCCCTGTGACTATCGTACATCGTATTGTCGTATTTAGTAAAAAAGAGAAACTGTATTGGTGTTAGTAATACAAGCCCTTATATTAAAATCGATCCTGATTAAGTTTGTGATCAACATCATTGTACCTGGTTCGTTGGGATGTATCATGCAAGCCTATTTACATAGTGCAGGTGAAAATCATTAATTGAATTTTTTTATAGATCAACGATAGTGTAATGCGTAGTAAAATAGTAATAAAAACGCATGTCAGAAATGTGTGCCAGGTTTGTTGCGCATATTGCTTGAACTACGAATGAGATTTCAAGATCAAATGCAACGTAACACGATCAGGAAAATTCAAATGTTCGTTAACCTCATTCATTTTAGGTAACGTTCCCACAAAAAATTGTTCATCCCCAGTAATTTTGGCCAATCAAAATTTAAGATCAGGAAACGTGTAAAAAAGTTACGCGTAAAATGAAAACCAAGAAACCTGTGTTATAATTAGGGTTATAATTAGAAAAATATAACGCCTATTAGTAAAATATCACGAAGAACATTTTTAATTAGGCCGCAGAAGGTGGTTTCCTAATTAAAAAATTTAGAGTTATTCTTGTTTTGTGTAAAAAAATGTGTTCGTTTCGATTTTTACGTTACACCTGATCCTGAAATTCAATTGGTCAAAATTACAGGTAACATTTTTTTGTGGGAGCATTCTAAACGCCAACTCTAACATTAAGAATTTTTGCTGTGTCACAAATCTGGTACACATTTCTGACGTATACAAAATTCAAACTGCAATAACTCTTGAACCAGCAAGTCCACACAAATAAAATTACATCTATCAAGTTTATTTTAGTATGCTCTTTAAAGTAACAATCGCCTTTTTTTATTTATTGTCGCAGCTAATGCTGAAATTTGGACCTATTTTGTTATGAATTTTTATAATTTTTTTGGTCGATCGAAGCATTACAAGATTAGGGTTTGGTTATTATAGTTATAGTGTTCTAGTTTGGATAGTTTAGTTATTATTAGAATTTGTAGTGAGTTGTCATATTTCGGCCCGACGCAACTCACACTTTTACATACGTACGAGTTTCTTTTATTGAATTAGCAGTCAGCTGACATGTCATACTTATTGGCTAAATTAATAGACATACCTAAATTTTATTACAAAAAAAACAAGTTATTTCTAATTCTTTGCAAAATTAATTATAAAGTTAATTTAAAGCTTTAGAGATACTTACTCTTATCTAAAGATTCTTTATGCATAGTTTGATACTAAAGTTAAAATGATCTTTACTATGTTTTTTAAAAAATTGACCCCCATAAAGCTTCTTAGTTTATAGTAATATAAACTATACGTAAACCCACGGTTTTAATACAGTGGATTTTTTTTAAATATATCATAAATGATATTGATATAATTTATATGCGTGAAGTAAATTCTTCGTTTACCACTCTTCAAAAGAAGGAAGTTGATTCAATATAAGTCGTTTTATTGTTACATTTAACTTCAATATTGATAACATTATGTCTTTTCTATATTATCTAACATGTGATTTTTCTTAAATATCTTTTCATATGGATTTTTAATTTTGTTACCATATCTTTATCATACGTACCATATCGACTATCTACGTATAAATTACACGTTTTGGCAAATTAAATAAATTTTTAAATATATAAATTACAGATCTTGCCGAGTTAATTTTTTAAATGCAGATTTACAAATTTTGCCGAATTTTTTCGATTTGCTGAAGTCATAACGATTAATATTTATACATTATACATCGATGAATGCATTTGAATTTGCAGTTCCTTTAAGGTTTTAATAACTAAAGGTATTTCTGGGCGAATACAGGGATCTTCATTCCAACATTTCTTGTATAATTCAACGTATTGGATTGGTGTGTTTTCTACTGGAATTTCTCTAAATTCATCTACCATCTGCATCCTCCAAACAATGTCAGACGGAGTCAATAGTTTGAATGGTTGTTGACCGCTCGAGATCTCCCAAAGAATAACTCCAAGACTATAAATGTCAGATTTTTTATCATATTTCGAATCTTTTAAACATCGAGGATCTATATATGCTGGCATTCCTTTAATTTCTGCGCATAATGTTGTTGAATTTTCATTAATCTGTTTCGACATACCAAAATCTGTAATCTTAATTTGCTTATTACAAACGAGAATGTTTTTAGAATTCTACCAAAAAAAAAATTTGATAAATTATAATTAAGATAATTAAAATTATACGTAGATAAAATAATATATACTTACTAAGTCACCGTGAACTATATTTTTAGTATGTAAAAACCAAAGTCCTTGTGCTGTTTCCTCAGCCATGCGAAATTTATCAATCCATTGTAGACCTTTGAAATGTTCTCTTAAATAATCTCGTAAATTTTTATCAGCATATTCTAGAACCATAAAATAATGTTCTTTTGAAGAATCTATTATTTGTGGTAATTTGTTAAACAGTCGGGTTAGTAATATTCTTTGATCATAATTGAATATTTTTACTATGTATGATTGATATCATGCACAAACATATAATTAATTAGTAATTCTCGTTTTTTTTTGTTCTGGAAATCACGATGCGAAATACGGATTTTAAACTTTAGACAATCAGCACAGCTTTTTTTTTGCATTACGATATTAACTAGCAAACAATTTAGATCAATCTTTATTTGCGTGTGCATGTGATGTGAATTGTGCAATGCACGTGATTTCTTAACATAATCTCAACACACTGGTTTTTGGTCAATGCGGTAAGGTTCGATATTCGAATAGTAAAACACACGTTTGTGTGTGAAAGCATTCAGCAACGACTTACCTTTAACAACTCCATAGAAGGTAATAATGTTAGGGTGACCCTGAGCATTTCGCAAGATTTCAACCTTATGTGAATTTAAGTAATCGATTGCATATTAGTAATAAGATACAATTGAAGAATAAAAATCACCATGCTGATATTTATTGATATTTATTCTGAATATTCCTATAAAAACTTTTCGAAAAACGTATTCCGATTTCACCAGATTATCGTTCCATTATCGTTCCAGAAAATGCTCATTTTTGGAACAAAACATATACAAATTCCTGGTCATTCCCATAGAATCCCAATAAGGACTTTTGCAGTATAAGTGACACCTATTCTAAATCACTTGATTAATAATATATTTTATTAATGGTGTCACCTATATTGCAAGAGATCACCAATAATTTTCTGGTAGAATTTAATCCGGATGAGATTCGGCTTCTAATCTTTTGTACTTCATTATAATTAGAAGCTGAATCTTGTCCGAATTTAATTTCTACCGAAAACTACTGGGATTCTATGGAAATGACCAGGAATTTGTATATGTTTTGTTCCAAAAAAATGAGCATTTTCCGGAACGATAATAAAACGATAGTCTGGGGAAAATCGGGATACGTTTTTCAAAAATTTTTATAGGGTATAATAATCACCTGCTTTAAATAGGTGAAGAAATAGCTTTTAAGATCCTTAAGTTCAACAAATAAATTTTCATTTACCTCGCTATTGAAATTTTGATTTGATGCACCGTCCCTTAGGCGTTTGAGGGCTCTTATGTTTTTACAATATTTACATCCAGATTTATAAATCACTCCTGAATTACCACCATTAATTTCTATAGCTTTATCAAAATCAATACAACAATGCAACTTATAATTTGTGATTCTGGTCGAGCAAGCTTTCATGATTTCATTCAGATCGATAAATAGTGATAAGAAAATATGTGCTGAACCGAGT